TTATATCTATATTCACCTTATCATAAGCTTCATTTTGACCTATAGATTATTATTATACGACTTACTGTTTTAAGTTATGTTCGGCTTATTGATTACGGTCTTCCACGCTCACAGACACTTTTTAGCTTGATCTTGTATTAATGCTATTTTCTATTTTATGGGGTGATGCGGTCTGTTTGGTTGGAGTATAAACCAAGTATGTTTGAAATAAGTGATTCGCTTAGTGGGAGCTGCTATTGGTGTTCTGGACTTTTAGTGGCCCGTCACGTTGACATCAGTTAGATGCACGATGTTGACGACGGGCTAACCACTTTAGTGGCCCGGGATCTGACTCTAATTAAATGTTCGTTATTTAATGATTGCTGTCAATATATATATGTCGCCTATCCTCGTATATTTCATCGACTTAAATCGCGTTAGTCAATAACGGCATTAAATAAGTCAAATACGAGTATGAATTTTGAATACGTATATTTCATACAATCGTTGATCTGGTCAACATATCGGAGAAGCAAAAGGGGAGAGAGCGAAGCGAAACGATGCGCGTTGAAGAAGGCCTGTAAGCCAACTCCGTTTAGTCAAGCGTTAATCAATATTTATAGTCACACAAAATTAAGCTACAGAAATGTGATGAATGAGACAAGAAGGACACACACATATGTGCTCACATTAAAACAGCCAAGATTGATAAGCAAATAATTAACAAGGTTAAAAGTGTGACTCAAGTAGAATGAATAGATTGGCCTGTCCGAAAGCTAGAATAAGTTATGTGGGTTTAACATAATAATCGACACTACAGACTCAACTGGACGGACTAGACGAACAAAGGACCAATAAGGACGCTAAGCTGCTTATACTGCTCGGAAGTCATTGGCTTAGCGCAGTACTAAGATTGTATTAGTCGTTTTTCGATTAGCAAATAAACCAAGTGATAATAAACCGGCCCTAAAAGCACAACATAATGAATATTTTCTTACTAGTTAGCGTAAACTTGTACTGCACGGATTGATCAATCATTATTATTTGAAGATTTTATGATCATTAAAGAAATTAAATAATAAACATAATTCCTAGGATGCTCGACCTAATTCCATTCATGGTATTTCTATATAATCTTAGAATCAAATAGATCCAGGAAAACTATAGAACTGAATCATTCGTTTTCTTAATGGCTATTTTCGATGTAGCTTTCTCAAAGTTCCAGTAAAAGCCATGACCTATGAAGTCATTTATTTTTTTAGAGTAGGATAGCCAGCAACTGAATAAATAGAATAATAGTCCTTTGATAACAACAAGTAATCGGATTTGTTAAATGCAAAACATTTGATGTCAAATCAATAATCAATCCGTTTTGTGTTAACAATGAGGCCCAGGGATTTTCTGTCTGATAATGTGTTTTACTATGATCGTTCACAGTTGAAGTATACGGAATTTAGATGAAAAGGTTTCCCAGTGATACTTTGTTTTCAATGGTTTTTCACATTCTATCAATCCATAATGAAATTATTTTACTTAGATTAATGATGATGATTTTTAGAAGATAGTTCAGGTAATTTCGATACACTGGATAAAGTGTCAAAAATGTCTGTAACTGGCGATTATTGATTTGATTAACAACATCCAGTCAAGTAAACAAGATAGTTACGTATATACATAGTCACTTCTGACGTGATACATAATAATAATTAATCAATCAAAAAATGTGATCTAAAAATATATATAGTAAAATAAAGTCAAAATACTGAGTGGATACATAAAGAATTATTTATTTAGATAAATTGTGAACAAACTGAATACAGAACTGAGATGAATAAACATGAAAATAATAAAAATGAGCTAAGAATCTCTTTAGATCATTTTATAATTTACTCTTGATATTGATGAGTTCACTGAACGATATGGTTTAATCGCCTACCTTTAGTTGGCATTAGGAACAACATCGTGAGTGCTTACTTCATGTATGATGGAGCTGTACAATCGTCAACTAAATAATTATGTTTCAAATCACTTTTCTGTATCTTATTTTGTTGATCATTTTCAATAGAATTTCTACTCTTCCTCATACTGGACAAGAAAACTACTTTTCATATCTCTCTTCTACGTGTTATTTTCACTCGTACTGTACTTTTAATTTTTGATTAACTTATATTATCTTTGTTACAAATACAATAACCTTTATTTTCGACTATATCATCTGCAAAGTAACTATAGATACGGTTATACTAATCCGGTAAATGACATCATCAAAATTAAAATTCCCCTTGTTTCACTGTCATTATTTTGTTCAGCAACGTAATGGTTCTTTTCCGTTGTTTTAAAACATATGAATGCCTTGGAAAATACAGTTTTAATGGAGTTAAGTACCTATGACCTATAATGATGACTCTTTTATGATAATAGAAACCTTTGCTATCGCAGCTGAATTGTTGAAATTACTGACGTGACTGACATATGATAATTTCCTCACGGAAATAATTTCTAATCACAAGCCTGTTATGGATGCTGAGGAATAATGTGCCAATCATTATCATGTTAAGTCTAATGATGTCCTTGGACGTTAAATGAACATTTCCTATTGGCCATTATTTATTTCATTCGTTAAATATTGTGTAAATGTTGTTCTCTATTTTATGGTAAGATGTGGTTTGTTTGTTTGGTATATAAATAGAGTATGGCTGAAATATAATGATTCATAACTCAGAGGCTGTGACTTGCATTCTAGACTCAACTGGCTGGGCTAGACAGGGGAGCGGGACCAATGAGAACCCTGGGCCGTTCATTACGTGTTTTCCGTGTCACTGAATCGATCAATAAAACGCTGCTCCATCTAACCTGCAATCCACCCGTTACAACAAAGCCAATAAATTTCAGAAAACGTAGTAACTTAGTAAATTCGAAGGTAATTAAAACTTATTTTTTACACAAAATATTCAGTCAACATAATCATGACACATCAGTTAACAAATGATCGTCAAATGATAAGAGAATGAATATTAAGTAATAATCAACATGAATTTACTTTTTCCCAACTAAGTACTGAATATTATCTTTCTACTATGGGAAAGAGTTATATCTGGATTTGAAATGCCATAAAACAACAAATTGCACAAAATTAGTATAAAAATGAGCTTAATTGTCAATCACTTGAGATTTTCTACAATTACTTTTGCTAACATACTATTTTCGTTCTTTCTTTTTTGTTGTTGAAAATCTCCAGGTGATAACGAATTTGTGCAAATCACAACAAAATCATGTTTGAAAAAAATGGCTAAACATTTTAGTGATAATGGTCAAATCTGTCGAATTTATACTATTCCTCATTTGTACTCTGATGCAAAACCTCTGAATTCATTTTTCAATTTTTGTAGAGCTGATGAATTACCAAATATTTTAATACAACCACTTACTATTGAACATGAAAGATTGAATGAAACATGGTTACAAACTCCATGTAAATTATGTGAAAAATTCAAATGGTCAGGTGAACGATATACTTGTTTATTTTGTCCAAATATAGTCTTATGCAGAGAATGCTTTTATACAGGTTATCATAAAGAACATCCTCTTTTATGTACTCGTAATAATAAATTATTTTCACAGAAATTATTACAATGTTCACGTTTAGCTGTAGCATCAGTACCATGGAGGAATACATTACCAAAAGTTAACAGAAATCCGAAAACTGATGATAGAATAAGACAATCAATTAGTATGATACAAAATAAAGAGAATAATTCTTTCAATCAAAAAGATGACGTTTCAAATAGTGAAAAACAAAACAAACGAATAACATTGTTTAAGAAATCAGCTTAAATGAATTATTATTGAAATAAATTTTCTTTATTCTGTTCACAATAATCATAGTTTGGTTAAGTCAAGAATTGTAACATATTGTTCAACTAAAATAAAACATGCTATTAAATGAGATATTTCTCTATTTACTGAGCGAATTTTCATTCTTGTTATTTATGAATAATGACTTGAAGAAATAGTAGTTATCTTCGACTGTGAACCTAGGTGACAAGGGATCGGATCCGTCAGCGACCATCAGTTCCCTCAAGATTACAGTTACACCTTGCTGATAACTGCCAAGTAGCACGAAACCTTGGTCCAGGGTTTCCTATTCACCGCCATCATATTTCAACATAATGCACGCCATGTCGAGTCACCTAGACTAGTGACCACATTGCAACATAGTTGATAGTATTCGATCTGCACTAAGAAGGACCTGATATACATGGCATCGATCACCACCCAGTGATCAATCAATTGCAAATTACAATTTCATAATGTGTAGGAAGATTTAGTACTTAAGTTCCATGGGAAAATTATAAAATTTAGGGAATTTTCCTGTTGTAGTGGCTGTGCTTCGTTAATCATTCACCTTTGTAACTGTTATTATATACATTTCAACGGTGTTTGAAGTCAGAAGGCAATAAGAAGCGGTAATAACAGTCTATTGGCGGATAGTACGAATTACAAAGCTATAGGGGCATTGATCGAATTTATAGCAGAGAATCAAATATTCTTATTTGCTATTCATTTATTTAGTGAATATTGAAATATATACTTGATTATTAACACTAGAGTGAAGCTATTAGCCTTCACTCACAAACTTTCTTGAATAGTTTTGAACTTATTAAGTTTTTTTTATGAATGATTTTCATGGCATCTAGACTTTTTTAAAGATACGTATAAGGAAAATATACTAACATCCATCATCGTTTGGCCCTAAGGTTTTTAGTAATTATAATTATAATCATTCAATTTAAAAGATGACAAATATGTGACGATTTATTGCATTATTTACATGACTAGAAAAAAGAGGGCTCAGAAGTTTAAGTAAGTTACCTTTATGAATATACAGAAGCCTAAGTAGTAGTAACTGATTCCAAGGTATTGTTAGATTAAAATCAAAGTCGAAGAAGATTAAAGTTAGCGGAAAAAAAACTGTAATTGATGGCAAAATTTGTATAATAGGTACGTATTAATGAATACAAATGATATGGTTAACCGGTACGTAATTGATTTGAGTTAGATTAACATTCAAAATTGATTTTTTCCAATCTTCTATGGAATTTCATTACATTTTAAGTACTCATATTAGTAATATCTACTGGTCATAAATAATTAACGATATAATAGTGTATATCTACATTTATTCGCTAAATTATTAATTAATTCATGTAAAGTACAAGTCAGTTTATTGAGCACAGATCATTATAAGTCACAAAATTCAGCAATTTGGAATGGAGAGTAGATGCATCGCTATAGAACAGAAATGAAAAATCCTATATAAAAGCAGCAAGGAAACTGTCTAAAGAAAAAAGATTTCATTCAGATATGAAGTATTTACTGTTTGTTATTCTTATGACCGGTAGTTGATACTGTTTCTTTTAGTGCTATGTGTACTTTGTGTATTGGTCACCATCTTAAGACTGATTGCAGCTATCATTACCTTACTGTATACATGTTCTGAATCCAAACTATGTATCTGATATTGTTGGGTATTTAATAACCGTGTAATCTTCGTTTTGTTCAAAAATGTTTCTATGGTGCTCACTGTATTGGATTGTCATACTCTTATTGAAACTTTATATACTGATTGCTCTGTTTTATGTGGTTGATTTTTAAGCACGTCTTCTGTTTGTTTTAAGGACGTTTGCCATTATTCACTGTTGGATGTTCATCTGTGGATCAGATTCAATTGACTTAACCTTCTTCTTCGAATAGGATGCTGTTCTTTAACTGATAAAAATATTTTCTTCATGACCACGACTAGCTCCTGAGAAGCTGGGTTTGGCTAAAAATGAATTTGACCACATGATAGACTTGGAAGTAATTCGACCATCAAACAGCCCATGAGCATCCGTCTTGTACATAGTCCTTAAAAAGGACAACAACGGTTGTCGTCCAGCTGGTTACTATCGGCGATTGAATGAGGAAACCATTCCTTATCGTTACTCCTTTCGTCAAATCCACTATTTGACAGATACATTGAAATGTACAACTGTTTTTTTCGGAAATCGACTTGGTTAAAGCGTATAACCAAATTCTTATGGCTGATGACGACGTTCCAAAAACGACTATCACCACGCTCTTCGAACTTTGCGAATTTTTGTGCATGTCATTGGGTTTAAGAAGTGCTGCACAAACTTTTCAGAGATTCATCGACGACTAATTTTAAGGTCTCAACTTCATATATGCGTATGTTAATAACTACTTAATTGCAAGTCCGGACAGAGAATCTCATTCCTAGCATCTGGACTTTGTCTTTGAACAACTTCAAAACATGGAGTTAATGTAAACATTCCGAAACGCCAAACAGGAACCAATTTTATAGATTTGATCACTCTTGCATAACGAACCCGCTGGCCGCTGTGGACGGACGAGCACCCACCCTTGCTGGCAGGAGAAGGTTTGATGTGACGCACCTGATAGGTTCAGCCACATACGTCTCATCAGTTAGCTGAAACTATTAGGTATTAAGTCACAATTAATAGACTCGTTTACCTCATATTTAAATAGTTGACATTCTAAAGTCTAGGTAAACTTTGCTTTTTCTCAGGCTACGAAGTGTCTTAATGAAGTTTTCGTGTCGATGGGTACAATTCGTTCTATTTATCGAAGAAATCAGACTGGTAGTTGATAGGTATTTATTTAGATCGTGGAACAGACTAGTTTGAGCGCTAGGTTGTCTTTTTCAAACACACAAAATTTTCACCAACGAACATAAAAAATGGGGAATATTATGTCTATACAGAATAAGAAAGTGAATAAATACTTGAGTTATAATGTTTTGACGTTCAGATGTTTACGGTCAACCTAAGTTCTTTCAGGGTCTTCCGGGGCTCGTCACTGGAACCTATTCTCACCCGTTAAACATAAGAGTCAAATTTGCAATCAAGATGACAACCTGGTACTTCAAGGGGATCTGAATGGACTTCAGAATTTGGGAGATAGCGAACTGGTTTTCGCTGCTTCAGAGTGCGAATTAATCTACGTGAAACATACAGCAGAATACGCGTACAACTTATTCAACCCTCCTTTAGAGGTGTCGCGAGTTGAAAAAGACATAGGCGTGCTGATAGCTTATGGTCTAGTCTTACTCTGAAAAAAATCTTTAGAGCAGACCTTGCACAAGTAATGTTGGGACACATTTGTGGCCAGTTTGGCAGTAGAACTTTCCACTTAATCTTCGACAGTTTTATGGGAACATAGTATTCCCTCCGTCGATTCAAAACTATAGGAATACATTGAAGTGTGTTCAGATGTAAACAATCAAATCAGTTTGAGGACTTAAACTCAAACGTTACCAAAAAACGCACCAAAAATCACTGGATCCTCACTCATTAGAGGATAGGCTTCACAGATGTGACTAAAAAACTTGTGGCATCCTAAAATCTCGTGAGTACTCTAGTAAATAATTACCTGGGTTCAGTTCAAACACAAAATTTGGTAGTTACATCCGTAAATTAGAGACTCAACGTAGCAGAAGTCGTAGACACACCCTAAAGATCCCACAGATATTCGGATTTTGACAACACCTTTAAACTCAACGCCTTGATAATCGAAATATAACAGCCCAGTTAGATCAAAAGTCAGAAGTGGTAGAGTTCGGAGACATGTTTAGCAAGTCAGGCCATGGAATGTCCTAGTGGGGTCCCCCAGGGCTCAGTACTAGGGCCTCTTCTCTCCTTGATCTACACAAATGATCTTCCTCAACAGGTAACGTCAGACTTACTACTTTTTGCCGACGACGTGAAACTTTGGAGAGAGATACGCAACCAAGTCGATACACAGGCACTTCAGGAGGATCTGACGCGACTTCAAAGTTGGGCAGACGATAACGGACTTACCTTTAACACTTCAAAGTGTAAAGTAGTCCATCTGCGACATGTCGCAAACTACAGTTACAACTTAGGAAACTCCTCTCTAGTAGTATCCCAAGTCGAAAAAGATTTAGGAGTTCTGGTGCCCATGACTTAAAGTCTTACGCTAACTGTGACAAAAATGCCTTCCGAGCAAACCTTGCACTGGTAACGTTGAGGCGCATTTTTGGCCAGTTTGACGGAAGAACTTTCCATATAATCTTCAATAGTTTCATCCGTCCCCATTTAGAGTACGGAAACATAGTACTCCCCCCTCACTCCAAAAGGACAAGGTCACTTTGGAGCGTATCCAACGGCGAGCCACGAAATCAGTTCGAGGACTCAAATCTAAGCCTTACGAAGAACGCCTCCGTTCGCTAGACCTTTACCCACTAGAATATAGGCGTCTTAGAGGTGATTTATTAATGGCTTATAATATTCTTAACACTTCTGGACATCCTCTTAAACACCTACTTAAGCTTAGTTCGAATAATAACCTAAGGGGTAACACCCAGAAACTGGAAACACAACATAGCAAGACGGAATGTAGACACAACTTCTACTCCTTAAGAGTTGTCAAAAGCTGGAATTCGCTGCCGGCCGAGCTAGTCCAAGCGACTTCTCAGGAGTCCTTCAAGAGGCAACTTGACCTATTCTTAAGGACCAAGGACAGCATCACACTATGATTTACCAATTTCTTTTCCTCTTTTATTGTTAACATACCTAGGTTCCTGCCTGAAGGATTTCGTGATCCCCTGCTACTAGACACGGAAGCCTGTTAAGCGAAAGCTTCTTCTATTCCGTCCACAACCATTTGAACCATTTGAACCATATGTTGAATAGCGTTTGATCTAGACTGGCTAGTGGTTGGATCGGATGCGTAGGAACGGATGCGCAGTAGAACTAAGAAAGCCAACATCAATGTCAAATGCCTTCCGAAGCATTTGTTTTAGGGCTTACTTATCGCTATCTTTACCAGTAGTCAAATTCTAGATTTGGCTGACGGCGAAGTTTGTCCAAATGACTTCTCATGAGTCCTTCAAAAGGACAGTTTGTATATTCTTCAGTACTCAGAATGGCTTTTCGTTATAATTTACGAATATTTCTGTTTCGTTCGTTAAATATACCTACTTGCTTACCTAGAGGCGTCGAAGGCTTTTGTATCATATTAGCCGCATAAATTAAGTGGGTGCGGTACTTTCCATAAGTAAGGATGTAGTTGGTCGCTATTGTAGTCAAGGCGAGGTAGTAGATACATGTTGTATTGCGTTTCTATTATTATTGTGTATTTTTTCAATGAAGTACAGCTACAAATGACTACTAGTAATTATGTCGCGTATGTATATAGTAATCTTCACGAGGATATCTCAACGAACGTCTTTTCAGTATTGATTTTATTGTTCAGTTGTTACTTCACTTATGTCGATATCAGCACTTTCATCATTCACTAAGGTTTGTATATTCCACTTGATAAGTAAAGGCTATGTCTGTTTTGCTCAAGAACCAGTTAAAAAGTAATCAGCTTCTGTGCCGTTATGGATACCATCATATGATAGTTTCTCTGAATTTGTGATTTTTTTGCGAGACCACGGCCATATGATATGTCTGCGAAATCGCCTTTTTTTGTAAATACTCTTGTCACATCACCGAAATAATAATTTCGGTGAAGCGAAGCGTATGATCAACAGTGAGCGTTCTCGTTAGAACTGTGCTCTTTGACCTAGAGATTGTGTTACCAAACCTGGTTAGTTGACGACTGTACTTGAGCTTTGCCTAGACACAATTATCTGCCATATCTTGTTCTGGGTTTCCATATAACCCGTATCATTCTAGTTTACCTGGTCCATGGCTTGCTATCAAAGTAGTTTCCTTGAAATACTCTAATTAACGATGCACAAGTGTTCGATCTTTCCAAATGTTAACTTGTTAAAAACTAATTTACTTGCCTATTTTATAAAAGGAAGAATCGAATTAGTTGATCTTGGACTACTCTGCCATGGATGTTTTGTCATCGCAACATTCGATCGAAAATCAAGTGATCAGATTTGGACGAACTCATTCCCTAAAGTAATTGCTTCTTCGCCTATCCGCATCGTAACGTGCAAATTTTTAATCGAATTCATTGGAATCTGTAATATCCGGAAGATGTCATTGCGCATAAATGACTAATTGGAATAAATCACTAAGGAATGATTGACTTTATAGCGTTGATTTTATAGTCTAGAAAATCATAGCACTTGTGTTGGCAATGTATATCAGAGTAGTTTCGACTTCAGAACCAAACGTCTATAGTCATTCCAACTAAAGAGTCAGAGTAGCTAATTTCAATTATCCATGGGTAAGTACTTCAGTTCCTTTATACCGTGATAAGACTTCCCTCGGGCCTGGAATTCGCTTGTTTTAGTCTTTTACGTCCATAAGCATATTCTGGCTTTGGAGCTAACATAGCATACTCGATTAAGTACGATAAATAATTTGAGTCGACTTGAAGTTTTCTATCGTAGTTTAAAAAGCTTAAAGTTATTATTCCCGTAACGTGTTAATGCCAGTTTAGGATCACAGATAACTCTGTCTCATTTAGCCTGCTAGTATAACTGTCGTTTGTTTGGTCTTCAATTTAAGCCTTTCCAGACTTGAAAATAAGTTTTGTCATCTCCTTTATTCTATTAATTGCAGTTTACACGTGTTCCTTCTAAATGACGACGTGTTTTTGTCTCCCACTTATTCTGTTTCTACATGGATCAAACTTCTATAACCGTGGAAAGCAGTCGTAATTATTTCTTACCAGTAAACTAAATTTCTGTGCACAAGTTTAGAGAATTCACACCATTGACGAAGTTTTTTACCCACTTTCTCATTCATTTGGTTATATTAAGTATATATATTAAGTATGGCAACTGTCATTTCGTGAATTATTTCTGTTATTTTTTATGTATTTCTCGTACTATTATAAATAGTTCAAAGTTACACTTATGTTTGCTTTATCATATAGCTCGTCGATTAAACATGAAAATTAATTGGAAGTGCCCTGACTGGAAGACTTATACTCTTGATCCCCCTCCTTTGAAAGAGCACGTTGAGAAATTGGCCAAGCTAGGCTTGAAAGATCCATGGGCTCGGTAGGTGTTATAACTTGATGGTTTTTGGAAAGGCTACTATATATTGGCTAATTCTTGCCATAGTTGGTCAAAATTAATCACTTTTCTCTATGACACTGTGTTTGGATGATATTTAAAATACCAGAGCTAATATATTGTGATGAGTGTACTGCATACTGTTATACTGTTGTACATTACTAGTTCTCTGATACTATAGGTAACTGTATTGTTTCTATTTTGCTTTTATTCCTGTTGATTCCTGTGTCTAACAAAAGGCGTTAATTTATAATGGTATACATTCGTAGTGGGTCCCACGTTCTTCATTTGCATTTGTGTTACACCTGGTCATTAATATTTCCTTTCCATTTGCTGTTACGTTAATGAGTCGGACTTAAAACTTTTATCCGTTATTACTTTAATTATTTGTTGACTCCATGAATTTGGTACATAGAAATATAATCAATCGATCTGAACGCCTCAAACTCTCTGGACAATAAATATTTCTCCTCCATCTCATATATCTTAATTGCGGTGTACACGTGGTTGAGTGAATGCTCTCATATAATTGTTAGAACTTTATTTAGTGCCTAGTTTGAAGTAGTTAATGAAATGTATCAATGCACTGTTGTTTTCTTCATCTCTTGAGTTTTCATGATCTATGAAATTTTGGAACTAACTACGATATTTAAATCATACACATCATCCCAGCCATTACTTTAGATCATACTCCAGTCTAGCTTGCTACACTAAAACAACACAAAAAAGGAATATATATGCAAGCGGACAAAAAATGAACACAAGTTAAAATAAGTAGATTTCCACCAGTTGACTTAATTTTTTTCTGAAAAATCGAAATTAGATACATCTTAGAAACTACGACTTTCATTTTTTATATTTCGAACAGTTTGTATTGAAAAGGTAGATGACCGACAACTACATACAATTTTCCAGTTTCAGTTACCAGGATAACGTTTTGGATGTAATTAGTATTTTTTGACCGGCGCCTAAACCCCACGATAATGAACAGTGATTATGAAATATAATTCTCTATTTAATCTCTCAGCTAAGAACTACGTCTAGTTTCACTTGTACAACAGTGGTATTTAAAAACCAACTACGAAGTGGTCTGGAAGAATTTATTCAAGGTATCCATGGGTAACTAGAAAGACGGTAAAATTTAATAGATTAATGTAGTATAACTGCTGACTATTGTTAATCAAAAGATAGTTAAGTGTTAGCCATCCTTATATCAGACAAAAAATACCAAATACATGCGAATCGATAGGTGATCGCTCAGCTTGTAAATAAAGATAGGCATGTCTACGCGCGGATGTGTAAAAGCATCCAAAGTTACAAGTGAATATTTCGAAAAGACAAATATATAAGTGTATAGAATAAATTCGCCTAGTCGTTACAAAGAGTCTATGTGGGTCACTAAAAGTACCCTTGATTCTATTTGCTGGAATCAGGAGATCCAAAGTATCGTTTTGGAGTTTACTGTCTATTCCGCACTGAAAAGCAGGTTCGGAATAATGTTTTGTTAAACAAATGGCTTATACTTTCTAATTCTGTTATGCCCTTCGCGACTTCACATAATACCTGAAATCATGAAGAACAACTCGGAAAGTTTTTGAACAACTCTTTCGTTTTCCAATATTTCACATATTAGTCCATAGTCCAAATTCGACCAGTTTTTTGATAATTGTAGTGTTGTGGGTATTTTTTGTCAACAAAAATAATATATTGCCCCAAAGATTTATCGCTTAAAATGTCGTTTCTTTAAAATTTCTATTTTTCAGCAATTATGCTTGGCAATATTTACCGAAAATTTACAAACCTCGTTCTCAACGGTTTAGAGAAATACTTCTTGCAAGACTACCTCATGGTGTAGCTCTAGGAATTGTAGCCTCGATCCTAATAAATCAATTTGACAGATGGCGTAAAGGCGAATTCAGTGCAGCAAAACATTAACAAGTCATCTTGTTTTGTTTCCTATTCATTGGATTTTTAATTCTCGTTTAAATTAGTGTTAGAACCTTAAGTGTTATGTTCATTGTAAAAGAAAAAAAATAATGACAGAATTCGGAATCTAAAAATATGTAAACGTGACTTACTTGTTCAGTGCTTTGCGTAAATGGGGTGCATTTGGAAATTAAATAAATACCTGTCCGAGTATCATCAGGTTTATTTACTCTCAGTTTCTTTGATTAATTTTAGTTTAAATTGTTTATGATGAAATAATGTGTCGCATCCAAATGTTAAGTGAAATTGTAAAATCACAATTATTTAAAAGGAATCTATTTAGTTAGTTGAATCCTTTTAATCATGGAATATGGGTCGAGTTCACTTTTTCGTAAAGCATTCTTTATATTTTATCATTAGGTTGTTTCATTTAATGGAGATGATTGATTTCCAGTTACCTTTGCGGAGTTTTCAGTTCAGATGCACTGCTGGTGAGGTAGCAATAGTATAATACTGTCTACGTTAATGCTATTCTGAAGACTACACATTCAGTATTCACGGAAGCGATTTGTTTTTTATTAGAATTTATCATCAGCAGTAAACTGGATTGATGAAAAACTTAGACTTAAAGAATATGAAGGCCTACATTTGGCGATCATTGGTTCGTTTGAATCCTGGCATCTTTTCTAAGGTAATTTGTACAGCTCAATTACTATAGAGGACACATCTAACATTCCTGGATTATTCTATAGCCTATACTTTCGCATGAACACAGAATAAGCGAATTCGGCAGTTATGATAATCACCAGTTTTGGTTGATGAATGTAACAAATATTGAAATGCCACGTGGTTTTAAGCTACGCGAGATTTGTTAATGAAGACAAAGATGACAATTGTTTACCTCACTAGGTATTGATCCTCAATGGCAAATGTTTTCGTCTTAAATCTACTTAACTTCATTGTAGAAGTGAACATTACATTATTTGGAGCTATCGGTATTTGGTTCCTAAAATTATGTTAAATATAATTGATATACATTTGTATAAAACTCGACACTACACCTGTTGCGGAGCAGGATTTTATCTGTTTTGTGTTTTAATTAAATTCCATATAGGGAAATACTTGAATTTCTGTTTTAACTACTGTTAAGATGTTAGTAGTGTGAACAAATTTATTAGTTTGTAAAGAAATTGAGTCTAGTAATTATGTGCTTTTACTCTATATAACACGTACTTTAAACTGTTAAATATCTTTGTAACTGGAAGAAAAACAGTTTATATTATTAGGAAATAACGAATTGAAAATTTTAATTATTTACGTGTTTATTTGAAAAAAATTGTTGTCGAATTTAATTTGATTTGAAATATAGAGATGTCGACTGTTTAATATTCATATTAAATTGAACTTCAAATCTTGACTAGATAATCACCAAATGATAATTGACAAACAAATAGATAAATATGTGTTATAGGAGGTAATCTACCACTAAGAAAGTGAATATTTTTTTATGATTACAAGCTCAGTACTTGATTAAAACGATTAATCCAAGATAGAAATATATACTGATGAAAATGATCAAGACGGAATCACTTCTACTTATTAAGTTTAATATTAATGTACTCATGAGTTTCTTTTCTCAGCTTTAAAATCTAATGTATCCTTGTTTGCTCTAACTCTCAGTGTTTCTTAAATAGGAATAAACAATCGGTAAATTAGTACCATTATAAGGATTAACTGATTGTTAGTTTGAAATATGATGAGACATTCTTAGTTTAAGAAATCGGTAGTATTCAAAAACTGTTATTTTTTGTGATTTCAATGAACTATGATAAGGAAGCTATGGATCAGTGATCTTATTGTCAAATAAACTTACGCGACAAAACCATTGTCCAACAATTGATTGCCTATGAACTTTTTGTTACAGAAGACGAATTATATCTTTGATGAATTTTACACAATCCTCTCCAGTATACACAGCTCTGGTTAATTTGGCAGGAGAAGAGAAGGAGGCTCTAAAAATATCATGATTTCGAACACGGAATATTTTTCAAACAAATTAAACACTGTAGATTGTTTGTATTTGCAACGTGTTATCTGAAGAAGCGACTTACCCTTGGTCACCGAACACCAGAAATCCAATCTTATTATGATGTTACAAATGCATTATTATTGGTCATCATTGTCTTGTAATTATGACTTAGTTTTCACGTAATACTGCATCTCCTCACGATGCTCCACTGCCTTGTGGGTCAGACCTTTAGGTCAAAGGCTCCGAGTGTGGCCCCCTAAGAAAACCACCTGCTTCTATCTGGGCACCCGGGCAGTATCACAGCCCACACACAAACAGAATGAAATGACGATACTTATGGAAAATACTATACTTGCTTCGATTAACAGTCAAACAATTCACATTATTATTATTATTATTATTTACTACGTCATTTATTCACTCTTTTTTATTCCCACTTTATGTATCCTTATTTTTCGACTTATACAGAAGCTCGCCTATGGTGGAAACTCGGTTCAATCTAAATGTTCTCGAGTCACTGCCTGGTTGAAAATTGAATGCTACCACCAAATACGAATACTGAAGCAGTTTTTCTGAAACCACGTGCACCATTCAAACTAGCTGCCTTCAACTTTCGCATATTTATGCAGGTCGGACAACAGATAGGGCTGACTATGTCTTTGGAAAGTCTTAATATCGGTGTCTGCTGCCTATCCGAGACCCGTATTCAAGACTCTGGTGAAGTACTACAAATTCGCTCTCCGTCTATTGCTCCAAAGAACTTGTTTTACGTACGTTTATCCGGGAACTCTGTGGCATCTTCGTCTGATCTTCCTGGCGTTAGTGTCACACGAAGTGCTAGAGCTGAGGCAGCACTAATCGATTGGATCCCCATTAACAGTCGGTTATATGCTGTTAGATTAGAAAGTTCCATCAAAGTGAGAAGAAATCGGTGTGAGAAGCAATGTCTTTTCGTCATCTCCGCCTATGCCCCGACAGATTGCGGCCGGGATGCAATCAAGGATGAATTCTACCACCAGTTAACTGTTCTCCAGAAAATGCGTTCGACAGATATTGTAGTACTAGCCGGAGACTTGAATGCTCAGGTCGGGCGTCTAGGCACAGAAGAGAGTCGTTTAGGTGGCCGATGGGGACTTGTTAGTCGCAGGACAGATAACGGGGACCGTCTACTGCAACTGTGCACAGACCACAACCTGTTTCTGGCTAGCAGTAACTTCCGGCACAGTCGTCGCCGATGTGCCACCTGGCGTCCTCCCTCTGCATCTCAAGCCTGGACTCAGATTGATCACATCGCGATCAGCTACCGCTGGCGTGGTTGTGTGTAAGACTGCCGCTCCTTTTGGAGTACCTATCTGGACTCTGATCAGGCCCTGGTCTGCGCCAATTTTGCCTTACTTTTCAGTGGCCAACGAAGTGACCGCCACCAAAGGATTGATGTCAGCAAGTTGGTTGCAACTTCTGTTGCAAGTAAGTATCGAATCGAGCTAGCTTCTAGGCTAGCTACCATTCCACCGAAAAGTATAGATGAGCATTGGTTGCAACTGCATGACGCCATAAAAATGACGAGTAAATTCACTTACAACTCATCGAAGCCTGTCGGTCTACTCCGGGTGACTGTGAGTTTGGCCACAAGCAAAGGCTTTTACGTAATGCAATTGGACAAAGCTTGCGTAAGGACCGAGAAGCTTGGTGGTCGATGCGTGCTAATGAGCTGGAAGTAGCAGCTGCATCTGGTAACTCCAGGAAGCTCTTCCAACTCATGCGGGCCACTGGCAGCAAGAAGTTTGGTGTGAGCGAGACAATCTGCGAGGATGACGGGATGCCAATCACCAACATCCATCGACGTCTTGGACGATGGGCAGAATTCTTCGAAGAGCAGTTCAGCTAGCCTGCTGCTCCGGCCACATCGGTCAGATTGTCCTGCCCTCTATGACCGTTGACGACTGATCCACTAATGAGGCGGAAGTCCGCAAGGAACTCCGACTCTTGAAATGAGTTGATAGTTGTCCCTATCTTTAAAAAGGGTTTTACGTCGTTCCTGTAACAAATATCGGGAGATAAGTCTACTTCCGATCGCGTCGAAGCTATTGGCTTCTGTCAAAAATTTGAAGGTTGTTCAAACCCCGAGAAAGATTGACTCGCGAGGAGCAGGCTGGTTTTCGTTCTGGTCGAGGATGTATTGATCATATCTTCATCCTCCGCCAAATGTTAGAGCTCGGTCATACTTATCACAGGCCAACAATCATAATGTTTCTTGACATCAGGGATGCCTTTGATTCGTTGGACAGGACTGTTCTTCGGGATTATCTATTGAAAAAGGGCATGCCTGAGAAGTTTATTAACATCCTAAAAGCCCTATATAAAAACACAGGCAGAGTGAGGGCATACAACCAACTTTCTCCATTGTTCCAATCAAACAGTGGGGTTAGGCAGGGTTGCCCAATCTCACCATTCCTCTTCAACTTTGCCATCGATGACATTCTGGAAACAGCTCTGATGGATGTAAGTAATGGTGGTGTGGATCTGTTGCCTGGAGAAAGACTTCTCGACCTTGAGTATGCGGACGATATTGTCTTACTGTGCGACAATGCCCAAGGCATGCAATCCGCACTTAATCAGTTGGCAATCAGTGTCCGTAGGTATAGTGTGTGTATGAAGCAATTTCCTACAGGTGTAACTAAGCTATTATCTAGACCATCGAACACAGAGTCTTGGTTTAGCCAAAGTCAGAACAAGTAAGCTATTGGCTTGATAAACTTTATCTGTTTCTAAAACATAAATTAACACCATTAGTATACAAAATAAACAATACAGTCTATCAACAAAGGGAAAAACAGAGACATAAATAACATACCGAACAGTAGCTAGAGGATAGGGAAAATGAGTCAACAAGGCAAATATTGTTTTATAATGAACATAAAATTGTGATTGTTGAGTAAACAAGACTTAGTCATACAAGGTCAAAGAAAGTTTATGTGGTGGTGGTGGGCGTCTCACTTAATCATTGGTGAGTTCGTTTATTGATCACACCTTACAGTATGTGCTTCGCACCTTCGAATTGCGAAGTACTTCTCCAAGACTGGCAGGATCCTAATCCTGTACTCACCCTGGATGATGAGCAGATAGAAATAGTCGAGAAGTTCGTGTATCTAGGTAGCTAGTGGTGGCGTAAGTGATGAGATCAATGCACGAATAGTGAAAGCCAGAGCGGCTTATGCCAACCTAGGCCATCTATGGCGCCTTCGTGATGTTAGTCTGGCTGCAAAAGGTCGGATCTACAACGCGTCGGTGAGAG